TCGCGCACGCCGTCTGCGCATGAGAAAAGATGACGTAATAACTTTAGTGGACATCTTACAATCGATCGGCTCTGTGGTGTACTCGGATTTTTGCGCTCTGCGTCAGTTTTCAAATTATAAATTTGTTTTGTTATCGATTACAATTAATAAACATTGGCATAATATAAATCGATGATTTGAACTGAAATATGTAGGCTATACATATAATTAGCACTCACATCAGTTGAGATTTAATGTAAATATATTTTTTTAGTCAGGACTCAGGTTTAGTCGAAAGTGAAAGCTTTTTAAAACATCTAACTGACCACATCAATTGTTTGTTTCAAAAGTATTACACCAGTCAGAAAAAAAAAAAGTGTATTAAGTACTCACCTCATTAATTTTTAGTAATTCCAAGTATCTTGTGGCAGTGTGCCACCTTTAGAGTAGGCAATAAGAAATACACGCTCCAAGTGTCACTGCTGTGGGCAACCCCAGGCACGTAGTACCCACCCACAATGAAATGGTAACGCACTTCAGTGTGCTGGGCCTTCAATTCTTTGTTTGGTCATTCATAAGCGCGAAGGGTCATTCCTGAAACGCGATTGACCCATGATCAACTCGTGACGCTGACGTCACTGTTTCCATGTGTGTGCCATTATAGGTAGGCCTATTATACAGTATAAGACAGGTTTGATTTAACCCGCTCATTTGGAATTGATACTGACTAGATGAAGCCAGCAGCATTTGTACCTTTTAATTAAAAAACCGATAAGAAATAGAACCGCGGGCAAGGGAAATAACTCTCCGCCTCCTTTACAACATGACACGGTCATCAAACATGTTGTAAATATAAATGTTTGTAGATAAATACCTGTTTGCAATGTCAATAAAATGGCGTCAATGACTATGGACAGTGTCTCCGCTAAAAATTTCGTTCTTGTCCCTACAGAGAAGAAGTGACAAAAATCAAGAAGGACGCGGAGAAATCTGACGTGAGGAAAGCCATCAAATGCCATCATCGTGTTAAACTTGTAGGCCTATATATATTTTTTGTCATTTCACACCATGCCACATATCGTCCCATAATTCCCACATTTCACTCCACAGGGCATCATGCATTCCACCTTTATTAATAACACCTTTTAACTGTCAGCTACTCATCACTCAGCTACAATTACAATTACATTAGAAAAGAGTGTATTAAGTAAACAAAAAAAAATTGAAATTGATCTCTTTAAATTAGTCATATACAACTCGTTAAAAAAATATTGTTGAAAAAATTGTTGAAAAATATAGTTTAGTGGCGTGAAAGGGGGTACGGTAGGCGTATAATATATATCAAATAAAGACTTCTAAAAAATTAATGATGTTAGAAACGTAAATATCAGTGCATAGTCGACATGGATACTTATTTTTAAAGCAAGGAATCGTGATGATTGTTTGCAATAGCAGGTAGAAATTATCGCAAAGAACCTACCATGATAGAATATTATCATCTGATTTTGATAAAAGTATAAATTTTATTATCATTCAGATTGTTAATTATTTGAAGTAAAATCCTCGATTGTAATAGGAACAATAATTTTGTAAATGATCTCCCGGGTGCGAATAGTCGCTGCCAAACAGTGTTTTGCTCATTTGTTTGTTGAAAAAAACAAACAAATAACCTTGGCCTTGGTAATAATCTCATTACCTTATGCCCAGGACCGGGGATTTAATTTTAACATCAATACCTCCCAACTCCCAGCACAAAGTATGTTACAGATTTGAACTTTGATATAATGTTTTATATAAATATAAATATCCATATTCTTTAGATATATGGGATACTGTGCGTTGAGCTATTAATTTTTTTTTTTTTTTTTTTTGAAAAATGCGAAGAAAAAAGGGAGAGGTGACTTATAATAATAATATATTTGAGTGTGTGGTAATAATGCGTATTGGGTTATCATCCCGGGGATGCTTTTATCATGTTTATTAAGAACTTAATAAAATAAAATATGCTGGGAGTGGGCTGTGATTTTTTTTTTTAAAGTTAGTCACAGTAAGCAAAAGCAGTAAATGTTGAAAATTATGCTACAGCAGCACCAAAAAAAAATTTAAAAAAGCCTCAGGATGCGTGACTGCTTTTTATAACCAATTAAAATTTGTTCTATAAAAACATTTAGAGTTAGTGGGGTTGGAAGGGGGTAATAAGGTGTGTGCATTTTTATAAACATGACAATATCTTTAAATCCGATATTCAACTCTTTCGCTGCAGAACAACGCACACTGCGTTCATCCGCCGTTCTCAAATGCACGGACCAACGCACAGTATGTTGTTTCAATATCATGTTAGTTTCTTTGCTATTTTTCGGTTAAACTTTTTAAGAGCTATTTTTAAATAAGACTTTTACATAGAAGAGGGGTACTTTATTGTTTATGAGCGAAAAAAAGGTTTATTTGTTGTCATTTGAAGTATTATATGTTTTCTTCGCTTTTTCCAACTGTTGGTCTACCCTAGGCCCGAGTAGGTGAGTAATTTTCCTAGACGATTAGCAGCTCAAAAAGCTTTGGACTTTTGAATTGTTTTATACTATTTCTTTTGATAGTGAAGATGATTTATATTTATATCCATCGCATGATTCCGATGCCGATTATAGTCACTCACTCGGATCGGATAGTTGATTGTAGAGCAGTATTAGTAGTTTTAGTTTTAGGGGATTATTAAGTTATAGATTTGAATGTGAAGATGAGGAATGCGTTCATCATAGGTTTTGGATAAAATAAAGGATTAGCATATAATGTTTTCAAATTTTATGGTTATTTTCTGTTACTTATTTTATTTAAAATGAAGAAATAAGTTTACAAACATTATATTATTCCATTCAATTATCATTCATTTGATTTGATACCAAGACCAATTTAGTCTTAAAATAATTAAACGGAGTGATTATTCACAGAGCTGTGCGGATAACGCTCGCCGTTATTCACAGAGCTGTGCGGATAACGCTCGCCGTTATTCACAGATTTCGGTCTGCCGATAACGCTTAACGTTATTCACAGATTTCGTTCGGCATTATTCGTAGATTAAACGATGTGGGTATCAAAAGTTCCGCGCGTTTCACAAAATTTTACCAGATTTCCTTCTTTATACAAAAATTTACCAGATGTCCTTCTTTATAATATAATCGGTAAGCTTTGCTTTTTATTACTTTTTATCTAATCTAATCAGTTACTTTTTAACTAATCTAATCAGTTTCAAATCCAACTAAAGCCAATCACAATCCATTACTTATTTAATGTTGAATTTTAAATAATAATGAATAATGGCTTTAATTTACCAAGTGGCTTGAAATGAATGCTTAAAACATGATATTTAGACTTGAAAGCCTGTACATTTATTTAAAGGCTGTATTTGCCACTATTGATCAATATAATATGTATAAAAATAAAAATAATAATGTTAATACGAATACATATTTATTTATTCACATAGATTTGCCGCTGGTCATAATGGCGATCGAGAAAGGCGCACAATTTTTAACATACAAAGATTTTCGTATTGCTCTTAAGAGACATGAAGAGGAGTGTGGTGTGCTGTATGTCATTAACAGCTCAAATAAAGTAAGAAAACATTTTCTAATAATAATCTCTAAAAATGATTTTATATTATATTATAAAAATGTTTTTTAAATATGTAGAATGTGGACGTGGTGGGCACCGTTGGCCTAAAGCTATGTTTACAATAGGATTCATTTATCAGGCACAGGTTCCAGAAACTTGTCCCGGCCGTTTCAGATTTAGCGGCCGACAGGATTTTGTTAAGCTTAGGTATTGGGATCGATTTAGGGTTTGGGTTAGGCATATGGATAGATTTAGGGTTCAGGTTAGGCATAGGGATCGATTTAAGACGTAAAAGTAAAAGTGCACGCATGGAAACAGATGCGGGCCGCTCTCTCTGAATTTATCCATGTCCACTATCTTTAATAGTTAGTTTCCAAAAAAAGTTTTCATAAAATGGTTACACTACATCACTAAAACCAATTCATAATTTGATTTACAATGACTTTACAATGATTCCCTTTTCCTTTTAGTTGAAGAATGAATCACCTGACTTGGAGACGTTAAAGTATGAGAGCATACGGTTCGCATGCAAACAAGGGCTTAGGGCCAAAAAAAATATTAGCCGAGGCATCAGACCTAATCAACGGTAAGCATTTTTGCACTGTTGACGCTACAAATACCCACAAATTAATTGAAATTGTGAACTAGTTTTAAGTTTCTAGTAAGTTTTATTTTAATAAGAATTATGTTGGAAACCATATTACATACGCTGTGAATCTTAGCCTTTATTGTTTGTGTTACAGATCATTCAAGATAGGATGCCCATCATTTATAAATTTACATGTGGTGGATGATGGAGATAACCATTTTCTTAAAGTAACCACCTGTAACCTGGTTCATGACAACCACCCTACTGGACAACAGGTACAATATTTTCATCCTCTAGTAGTATCTTTTCTTATGTCATACATTACGACCTTT